GAAGCTTCGTTTCATGTGTAATTTCATCTAGTTATTGACCACCAAATTGCAAATTCTCACTTTCATCTAAGTAACTTTCTCTTAAATCTTCGGATATGGGAATCCATATTTTCCGTGTTTCCTGTTTTCTCTTTAGAGTGTTCGTAATTTTGGTAAAAACATCTATACTGGTTATGGCGGTGTTTTAGCTTGCCGGTTTTAAATGTGCAAATTTAAATCTCAATTTTTCCATTTTCCCTCCCTAAAAATGTCGTTTTATAAGACAATTGCATACTCTATGGGGTGAAAACCCATATATTGGGATCTGCTTAACCGATTCAAACCAAATTCAATGCATAATATTCCTCTCGTATTTCTATGTTATAGTACGAAAATGGACGAAATCGAATTACAACCACGCCTATTTTCCATATAATACCATTTTAAATTCCATCTGATTCTTTTATTTTCCACTATGCAAATCAAGCAACAATGATTGTATCGGTATATTGTATTATATCATCTTGTGACCAAAAATTGTCTAAATCGAACAAAAACTGTTCAAACGCTTAGTTGCTGAATATGTGGACCTGAATGCCTATAGTTGACTTTTTACCGAAAATAACGGTCAATGTGTAAGATATAATTGAAATTCATATACTAAAATAAATAAATGAAACTCTCGATAATAGTAAAAGTATGTATTTGTGTCAAAAATGGGTTGAATCGGATCAATAGTTCCTTTAATATACAATTTTGCCAACACCTGACCTAATTTCCCTTGCAAGTTGCGAGAGAATAAAATGTTCGCTTACACCCGAACTTATAACTTCCTTACTGGTTTTATTTTTATTTTCACATTCACAATAAAAAGGATCAAACTTTACCTGTAAAGCAAAGAAACAACATTTAAAGTCAATTTGTCGATCTTTTCTTTTATTAAAATCAAATTATTATTCTCTCGCAACTTGTTGCTACAGAGTATAATAGTTTTGTTCACCTAACGGTTATGTATATATAAATGATCAGGATGAAGAGACGAGTTGAAATCTGGGTGACTGTCTGTCCGTCCGTCCGTGCAAGCTGTAACTTGAGTAAAAATTGAGATATCTTCATGAAACTTGGTACACATGTTTCTTGGAATCGTAAGACAGTTAGTATTGCAGATGTTCGTAATCGAACAACTGCCACGCCCGCAAAACGCCTTTAATCAAAAACAAATAAATTGCCATAACTAAGCTCCGCAATAAGATACAAGACTGTTATTTGATACAAAATATCACATTAGGGAGGGCCATCTGCAGTTGAAAATTTTTTTAAAAAGTGGGCGTGGTCCCGCCCCTAATAAGTTTAATGTGCATATCTCCTAAACCGCTAAAGCTATAATAACCAAATTCACTGGGAGCAAATGTTTTTAGCACCTCTATTGACGGTGTGCAAATGGGTAAAATCGGGTGACAACCCCGCCCACTCCCCATATAACGGTACTGTTAAAAAATACTAAAAGCGCGATAAACCAGGCACTAAACACGCCAGAGACATTAATTTTTATCTCTGGGATGGTATGAGATGACTTTATAGGAACCGCGTTCAAAATTAGTCAGTGGACGTGGCACCGCCCATTTTTAGGTAAAAACCCATATCTTGGGATCTGCTTAACCGATTTCAACCAAATTCGGTGCATAACGTTATTTTCATATTTCTATGTTATAGTGCACAACCACACCTATATTTCCCATATAACACCATTTTCGTTTCCATATGATTCTTTCACTTTCCACTATGCATATCAAGCAACAATGATTATATCGGGGTAAAACTTTGCGTGAATAATACGTTTAAAGTATGCCACCTTGTGACCAAAAATTGGTTAAATCGAACCAAAACTGTTCAAGCCCTTAAGTACTAAATATGTGGACCCCAGTGCCTATAGTTGACTTTCTACCAAAAATATCAGTCAATCCACAATGAAATCTCAAACGAGTATACCATTTGACTTTGCGAGAGTATAAAATGTTCGGTTACATCCGAACTTAGTCCTTCCTTACTTGTTTTTTGCTAATATTTTGTCAGTCACCTCATGTCAAAATGATACAGCTGCTTTACTAATTTTCGTCGGATGGCACCATCTACTAGTTAGTTATAACAACGCGTTAGTGACACCCGAAAAGCACGTAGTAATTAAACATGAAGGAATCTTACATACGCCTAAATATTCGTTTACATATGTATATACATACTATATTAGAGAAAACCTCCATCGTTTACGGCATTACAGTAGATATGCTTAAAAACATATATATATACACACATGTATGTATAATAAATTTATGAAAATAACCTGCGGTAAATTATTCTGCTCCTTGCGGTCTCTTCGTGCTGCGAGCATATATACACGCGCATTTGTATGCAAATATAATATACACGCGGAATAGCATCGGCAAAAAATATGTATATGTTGGATTTTTTACCAATTTACGCAAATATTGGTATATACGTGTATATTCATACATTGGTATATACGTACAACGCTTCAAAGTCCATATTGGCAAATATTCCGCAATACCCCTTGTTCTTTGGCAAACAAAAACAGGTAGGATTGCCTATGCACATAATATTCTAAGGCCACATTGGCACATATCCGCAATACCCAAGGATTGCGCAAAACATATTAAAGCTTAATATATACATACATATGTATGACGTGCATTGATCTCTAAGACGTGCTCTCAATTGCACATAACGACAAGAACATATGTATAAGCTGTTCCGCTTATAGGTATACTCTATAAGATTTACGGACACCAAATACATCCAAAACACAACAAAACTTTTGCGTTTATTAATAAACTACTAAATAAAATTAAATTTAAAAAAAAGTATAACAATTCAAAGCGATATCATAAAATAAGATATACGCGTAATTTACTCATTATGGAAAGCGTTATATATTTTATTTAAATTTTTTCGAAACTCTTATTTACTTTTCTCTCAAACGCACATACCTGAAAATTTTAAATCCTCGGCTTACGCCAAGTACGAAAACTGCTTATCCCAGTTCGAGGAAACAAAAGCAATGATTTCTGATCAATTAAAATTAATTAAAGCAAGAAGAAAGAATATTGGTCGATAAACAAATATCGATATTAATGAACTTGCCCAAAATTCAAAAGGAAAGAAGTGAAGAGTTTATCAAAATTCAATTAACTGTTTCAAATTGTTTGTCGGTTTTATCGACACAGAATATTCCCACAGCCAGCTGGGACCCTATACTGGTAAACATATGCACCGCCGCGTTACCAGAAAAATCATAACTTTTGTGGGAGCAATCACTCTCATCACGAAGAAATTACCCCACGTGGCAACAAATGAAAGATTTCTTAACTACCCAATACGAAATCGCAGAAAGGATAGACAAAAAAATAGTCAGAACAAAAATTGTTCAACACGACCTTAATAGAAGCTTCCACAGACCCCAAGTCAGTAGCAACAACAATTTAAATAGAAGCTTCTTACAAAATCAAACGTTCAGTACAAACATAAAACACAAATATAAAAGGAGCCACGAGTTTAGTTGTAATAGCAAATTCCGAAGTGCGAAATCCCAAAAATGGCCAAGAAGCATCATGCTGCTCAAAGGCAATAAAAACTCAACAGCGACACAGCAAAAATCAGAGTAGAGTACTATTATCCCCGGCAGTTGTCTCCATCGAACACCGAGGAGAATTGTTTAAGCTTAGGGTCTTAATAGACTAATGATCACAACGATCATTTACAGCGTTTAGGGCACAAAATAGGCTACAAATGCCAACAAAACTAGCCACCTATGAAATCACGGGAATGGGCAGAAGACTAGTCCAAAACTCAAACAAAATCTGCCCCATCACCCTAACTTCCCCCAAAGCGGATAAGATATGCTTCCAAGCTAACACATGAAGAGCAAGCATGGACAAAAGATTTCATACCAAAAGCTAGCAGATCCCAACTACAACATCCCCGCTCAAAAAGATCTTCTATTAGGTAGCGATCTCGTACCACAGATAATACTCGAAGGTATTGAGAAAATTTCAAACTCACTACTGGCACAAAATACTATTTTTGGTTGGATCCTAAGTGGACTAGTTACGGAACCAGTTGCCACCATGACAACTCAAGTTGAGGAAATCTCAATGAATACAATTAAAGAGCTTTTGGGAGTTAGAAGAACTCCCTCCCATATCAGTTACATCTCCCGAACTCTTCGCTTAGAAAAATGGTCGCAGTTTACATACAATCTGGAAGACATTTTCCAGATACAAGTCCCACGCTGAGTAAACTATTTCCACAAACACAAATTCGAGTTACACGGCTTTTGTGATGCCTCTGAGGCGGCATACTGTGCCACTTTCTATGTGCGCACACAAATCGACACCGCGACCACAAGCCACTTATTAGTAGCAAGAGCAAAGGTGGCTCTTTTAAAAACGCTAAGTCTACTTCGACTTGAGCTCTGTGGTGCGCTATTTCTCGCAAAATTAGCTACCATGGTACAGACCCATTTAAAAATCAAGAAAATTTAGATTATATTTCTGGTCCGATTCTGAAATTGTTCTAGCCTGGTTGGAAAAACCACCACATGCATAGAAGACGTAAATTTCTAATCGAAGGTCTCAAATACTTGACCTAGTGGGATCAGCCACTTGGCGCCACGTAGCCAGTGCTGACAATCCTACTGACCTAGGTACAAGTGGGTGCAAACCTTTGCACATTACCACCACCACCCTCTGGTGGAATGTCCCCCGACGGATAACATAATCGCCAGAGTCTTGGACACAATCACCCATGCGCAATATAATGCCTCTGTTCCAGCCCAAAAATAGATTAATGTCTAATTAACAATTTTCATTTTATTTAATTTTATTTTCACTCTTAACACTCCTAATGCTCTATTAATAATGTGCTTAATCATATGCTAGCACGGGTTTTTATCCCGTCATGTGCTTATTTTCTTATTACCTACGTACATATGTAAGCATATACGTATATGCTTATGCGGGCGTAGGTATTAAAATATGTATCATGTATGTGTACATGTGTATGTATATATGTACCAACTTACAAATTGCAAAGCAAAAAGTGAGAATATAAAAAATGCAATTATGTACAAATCATAGAAAATCGTAAGATATGTATATGAATGTAAGAGTTTGTGTGCATATGCATAAGCGGTGCTCTCACAGAGGTGAATAGCCTAATTCACGGTCACGGTCATCCGATTTTGCACAGTGTCATACTTCTGACCAAACAGCCTCAGTAAGTCGAAAAATTGACCTCTTTCACACAACATTTGAGGATACTGACACTTGAGCGATTTTAATCGTTTTCCAGAGCACTCAGAGTAGTCGCCTATATCTATATAAGTCTATAGAGCGAATTAAAATTAAAGTTAAGGGATTTCCCCCAGAATACCCCCAATGCGATGAATTGACGCATCTAGAATTGCAAAAGGCAAAGGTAGCTCTAATCGTATCAACTCAAATGCGCTGCTTCAGCCGCGATATAACACTATTAAAAGAATCAAAACCCATTGACAAAAGCAGTTCAATCTTAGTTCTTAACCCATTCCTAGACACGAAAGGTCTGCTTCATGCGAATGCTTGCCAATTCAAGCCTCACGTATAAGGAACGCCTCATTCAAATCATACCAGAGAAGTCTCGACTTGTCACATTACTCCTCAGTTATATCCACTTACTTCGGCTTGCCGCGGAACATCGCCTAATGCAACACATGGTCAGTCAAGAGCTCTATATTTCCCCACTTAAGCTCTAAATAAAAAAAATGCATTTTGATGTGCAAGATCTGCGCTATGCATAAGCAGAAGTTACGAACGCAGATTATGGGAGCAGTTCGCTATCCTTATTAAATCGATGGGAAAAAATCAAAATTCTTCATCATGATTTCAGCGGCCGATAAAAGGAAGAGTATATAAAGAACCTTCATAAAAGGTATCGATGGAAAGCTCTAGAAAACGCGCTAAAGCTTGGAGATTGTTTCATCATACATGATGATTGTCTACCCCCACTGAATGGCGGCTTGGCTAGAAAAACTACATTTCATCATTAACAGATTGTTCAAGCTAATGGGCACTGCCTTAATTGTTTGGCTGCGGTACACGCTACTCAGGAGTGTACGTCAATAACCCTCTGCCAACTGTGCAATAGGCCGCACCACACCCCAAAACGGGTCGTCGAGCGACAACTTGCTCCAAGCAGCCGTGCCGCGAGCAGATTGCAGCAGACCAGCCGTCCGGGTCGACACCGAAGGTCAGCAGCTCCTCCTCCATCGAGACTTAAATGTAGCATCAACGCTTCGTCAGCCACTCTCCTGAGCAGCGTTGTCGCCACGCTGCAGCAACTACAGCGACTGCTAGGCTAGTATTTTATTGGGGACCCCGGGATAGCTAGATGAGTTACACCTCCCCCTCAACGCACGCAACTGAGCGCCAACACACCACATAAACACAATCCACTAGAATACACCGCACACAAACACACACCGCGGACATCACACACCACGCAGACCACCCACACATACGCATCACATCACACCACAACTCTACACTACCCAGCTATTTAAACGAACTACCCAAGAGCTAAGCCCGCATCCTTTTCTTTTGAATTTCAAACCATCAACACAGCGTTCGTCATAGTGTTACCGTGTAATTAACCGAATAAATAAATTTAAAAACAAAAACCAACTTTGCGGCATAATTTTTTTCCAAGGTTAAGTGCGCGGTAAGTGGGGACCATTGGTGATCGAATGTACAACACTTAAAAAACGTGCATTAAAATGCAACACTATGGATTTATTAAATTTTTATTCTACATTAAAATGCAACCATGTAGATGTATGTCCAGCCATTCCTCTGTGCTAGCTCACATGTGTCTTAATTCTCTTTTGATTCGCTGGCGGAGTGGTACATACACCTACAAGGGGCACAATTATTTTATTATTTTAGCGAACGAATGATCAAATGTATTGTTTAGTAAGAATAACTACTGAAATTAAATAAAATACGAATCGGCTTAAAATAAGTGTTTTACTTTGCCACCCGTCAACAGTATGCAATAAACTTTTGTTTCCAAAATATGTTTGAAATTTTATTAATATTGTTCATTACGAGTAATTTTTCACAAAAAATTATACCGCATTCCTTTTATTTAAATCTCTGTGCTCGAAACGAAATATGTAAATTTAACCTTTCCTAATATTACGACTGAAACATCTGTCCTTTTAAAGCACATTACTAAAAGTTGAGAAGCGAGGCTGGAGTAACCAATATTCCTGCTATACATATGCATATACAAATAAAGTATACATAGAAGTTTTTGAATAGGATCACATAAAGGTTAACTAAATAGAGAGAAAAGTTAAACTGCTTTTGCAATACAATGTTAACTTTATGACTGTTAAATTAATAACCAAAAATTATTAAAGTGCAACAATATAGTAACATAGAATGTTTAAAAAAAAGACAGGTATTGTCGTTCACAGATGCATCGTACGCCTCTTTGAAGACTTCAGTGCTGTTGAGTATGAGTTTTTGGTTAGTACATATTAAAGTTATTTCTCCCTATGTTTTGATTATAATGTATCGCTATAAGCAGGCTGTAAAATAAATATATTCAGTAAAAAGAAATAGAACAATTGTTCAGTTAGCAGCAAATATAGATAGATGACACTGTATGTAACATATAGTTAGCGGCCAGCTACATAACGCGATGTACTTATCTTTCTCTCGGGTGGCTAATTACTACTAAATGTAATTTTTCGTATTATTCTTTTGTGGATGCTGGGGCTCATTTGTTTTATTTTGTGTCACACATTTAACGTTTTTGGAAATTTCATATTTTCATTTCAATGATCTTGTTTTCATCGAGCTATTTAGTTGTTTAAATTCAGCACTTGCTTAAAGTGAGTGTCCTCTTTTTTTATATTACAGGTTATACTCACTTAGTTTTATTACTATAGTTTACTTCACGTCCACGAAAATTATACTATAATAAATATAGTTTAAAAAACTAAAGACACACGCTTTTAAAGAATATCGAACTAAAAAGGCTTAAAGCGCTTTGTGTCATAATTTTCGTATATCGAGCGCTCCACGCTTTTTCCTCAATTATACTAGTATTTTTTATATATTATTTGCTTAAGTTAATTTTTAAAATTATTTTCAACTTTTTAGTTCGATATTCTTTAAAAGCGTGTGTCTTTAGTTTTTTTAAACTATATTTATTTTCAACTTTTTAGTTCGATATTCTTTAAAAGCGTGTTTTTTTAATTTTTTTATTTTAAACTATATTTATTGTATATTAATTGATAGCTGTTCGATAGCCATCGCAACACTAATCTTACTTTCAGTAAATATTGAAAACAAAGTATTTTGCATAAAAATTTTTATTTTCATGTTATGATTCTTTCAAACAATTTTTTTAAGCTATTGAATAGCTTTCATCGCGGGCTTTGAGCGCGGTACCGAATCAAAAAATTCCGCAACCAAACTAAACCCAACACGATTACAAAGTATGCGCAAAATGTTTGCACACTTTTAGGCATATTTTGACAACTCAAACGGAACAAATCAACTGAACAGACAGAACAAAAATAATAATATCTAAGATAAAAAATTTTAATGCCAGACCAATATATGGAATTTAATAAAAAATAACTTATTCAATATTCGGATTCATAATATACTAATATTATGTAACGTTATTATTTGGTAAATAGCTACCCCACCTTTTGGAATAGTATCTCGTTTGAATTGAACAATACAATTGAAATTAGGTATTTTAATCGGATTATCAATGGTAACAAATTTCCACTCATCTTCGGTGGCGTTTTCAACATCAACTTCGCTGATAAAAAGTCAGAGCGGTTGACAACTTTCCTTTCGGAAAGATTGAATTTGAAAATGAATGATGATAGTGATTTGATAATGAATAACTTCCCATTTATTCAATTCCTGTTTATTTTTTATTAAATTCCATATTTTGATCTGCCATTAAAAAATTTTATCCTAAATATTATAATTTTTGTTCTGTCTGTTCAGTTGATTTGTTCCGTTTGAGATGTCAAAATATGCCTAAAAGTATGCAAACATTTTGCGCATACTTTGTAATCGAGTTTAGTTTAGTTACAAACAGACATACAAGTGAAACTAATATAATAATAAGCGTGTTAATTAAACTCAAATGAAATATAATATAAACTTAACAGAAAAGACTAAAATTAATATATTGAGTTGATGAGGATAACGTCAACCAGAGGATCGGAAGTTATTATAATATATACTAATATAAGATTTGTTAGAATTAAATAACAGAAATTAATATACATATGTATTGTAGTATAATATAATTTCACATATTTTCTGCATTAAACTAAAGAATATCCAATATTATACGTTCAGTTAATTTTGCTAAGATATCTTACATATTGACTGATATATATGGTATAAGGCCAACCGGATGTTTGAATTTTTGATATATATATATTCCGTTAAGCATGAGAGCAACGTCGTCTGTATAGGGTATAACCCAATAGCCTCGTCCCTCAAGTGCTTTCAATAGGTCATTTACTGCTAAGATTCAGAGTAAAGGAGACAGAACCCCACCCTGCGAGGTACCTCTATTGAATTTTCACAGTGCACGCGCACTGCTTCACTTCAACACGAGAGTTCCGTCGCAGAGAAGACAATACTACAGGTTTAATTCAACATCAAATCTTCTCAGAGCACTAATGACCACTTCCAGCCGTACACTGTTGAATTCTCCCTCAATGTCGAGAAATGTTCCCACCGCATGTTCCTTATATAAGAGGGTTCATTTTAGCCATAAACGTGCGTGCAGAGCAGTGTCTACCGATTTTGCTGAAGGTATGCTGAACTCCCAATAGCATGTCTCTCGGTATGCTTCCCCTGATGTGCAGGTAAGTCTCTCTAGCGTGTTCAACAGAAGACGGGGACCAATCAACTGCATGCACTTTAACGTCTGCGCAAGTGTGATTCCATCAGTTCCCGTGGACTTGAATGGTTTGAAATAATTTAACGCCCATATTAGGCCACCCCATGGAGACCTCTGAGAGGCATATCCTCTTGGTTGGATTGGTTCCTTGTAAAGTGAGCCTTTCGGAGTAGTTTTAACGACCATCCTCATTTCTAAGATAACCCAAAGAAGTTTGGTTTTCCGTTCCCTTGAGGATTCGTGACACCTTTCTTCACCTCTGCAGAAGGATCTCCATGAAACTATCTTGGCCTTTTTTTATTTCCGACCTATAAGTAGCAAGTTCTGTCTTCTGCAATGGCTGTGAGCACTGAGTCGTAACCTGGCGCAATTGGAAAAGTTAATCGAAGCTTCCTGCAGTACAGGTCCCAATCTGTGGTTCCAAAATTCCAACAGGTTTGCTAACTGGACGAACTCCGTCCAGACTGAAGCTGATATACCCATGATCAGAGAAACAGAGTCAAGGGTGCCAGTTATTTTGAGGCTAGTGTTAAGTCAAGAACTTCGTTCTGGTCCGCAGTTACAAAAGTGGGGATTTCCCCAAATAAAATCAAAAAGTGACTCACCTCTAGCATTAATATCCGATCTCCCCCATACCAAGTGTCTCGAATTTCCTTCTGAACCGTTGGCTTTCTTTTCTTTAACCTATGCCAGAGCACTCCTTATCAACCAGAGTTCAGCGGCATCCTCACATCCTCGTTGCTGAAATGTGGTAAAAGAAAAACATTACATATATTTCAGACCAACATACAAGCTCTTGTTCTACCCGTATTGGACTTTCATCTTCCGTGGCCTTCTCCAGAAATCCAAGTTCCGCACTACAATCAATGTCTCCACCATCCTCTTTGAACAGCTAAACTGAAGGCAGATCGCTCGGTTGATGATCCACCTTCAGCACTTACCACGCTCGAAGGCATAGGGTCGAGTTCATGTCCGTTTGGACAACGCGTCCCATTTCCCCCGTCACTTGGAGAGCCTGCTCCATCCTCCTTGCTACTGTCAAACATCCCGAGCTCAATAGAGCTTGAAAAAAGAGCACTCTCTTAATCCAATCAAGTGTAATAGCATGCTTTTCAGATTCCTGTCCAACATTCTAGCCACTGTAATGCTCTAAGATCTTCGTTGCTAAGCGAGGATCAGATTTCAGCTTTTTCTCTGTTTTACCGGAGGACGATTTCGTTTTCCTGGTAATGCCTTCCCGAACCTTTGTGCTTTTTCGAAGGTTTCAGCTTTTTCTCTGCTTAAGCGGAAGACGCTTTCGTTTTCTCTGGTAATGGCTTCCCGAGTCTTTGTGTTTTTTTGAAGGGGTCGATTCCGACCTACGCCAATTTTCGATGACCCGTTGCAGACATATTTGTTCATCAAATACCGGTCAACATCGTGTAATAATACATTTCGAAAGAAATAAGTTTCGATCAATCTGCCATACCACAATCCGTACAAAATGGTAAATTTTTGGGGATGCAATTGCGTTTCCCGAACCAACCAATTTTGTTTGTTAACGAAGCCATTAAGTCAGGAAGGATCTCAACTGAGAATACCATATTTTGAGAGTCCTCACGTTAGTTACTGGAGAACGTGAATTTGCGTAATAATCTTGATAAATATCCAAGCGTTGTACCAAAGTGAAACCTTATTGAACACACTGACAATATTTGGCACAAATCCGTAAACAACAATGCTTGTCAAGCAGCTTGCAAAGCTATAGGACTCTTGGAAGATGATTCGCACTGGGAAAACAAGTTATCAGAAGCAGGTGTTTGTAGTTCAGCTACATCATTAAGATATTTATTTGCCGTCATAGTAGCGTTTTTCATGTAACTAATTCTGTTAATCTATGGAATAAAATACTACTAACTCAGATTTAAGTAACAGCACCGAATACACAAGAGAAACATCATACGACCAAACGGGACTTTTATAAAATATAGCTCAAGATGAGCCACGATTAAACATCGATCAGAAAAAAGTGTCCACGTCATTACTATCAACAATCGAGGAACACGTGCTGACGAAATAAATGCTTCCCTAAACCTTTGGCCACATGTAAATAATTTAGAGTTAGAGTTATTACACAATATCTTGATTTAAAGTCACCAACTAACGAACAAGTAGATAAGGTAAATAACTTGATTCTTTCAAAAATTGATGCGCCGGCGAAAATATACTACTCAGTCGAAAGATTTGGAAGAAGCTGTTCCTTTTCCTACAGATTTTGTAAACTCTTTGAGCCCCTCCTCACAAAATGGTGTTGAAAGTAAGTTGTCCTGTTATATTATTAAAAAACATAAATCTACCTAAACTTTGAAATGGAACTCGTTTGCTGGTAAAAGCACTGAAAACTTTCATAATAGAGTGCACAATACCCATATTATGTGGTACCGGGGAAGGTGTATGGATTCCCGAATCCCTCTGACATCATCGGATTTACCCCTCCAATTTAAACGTTAACAGTTTCCGGTAAATACATCTTTTACAATGACGATTTATATATCGCAGGGACAAATCTTCAACGTTGCAGGCTTAGATTTGAGCGTTGACT